ACGCTTGCTTTGCCGCGTGGCGAAGAGGACAACGGGCGGTAAGGCTGATTAACAGACAACAAAATGCTGACGTTTTCTGCGTCACTAGAAGAGGCCACGGTATTAAAAAGAATGGACGCGACTGCTGCATAAGCATTCTTCTGGGACACACTCTCTCCCTAATTGAACCAAGACGAAAGCCGAGGCAGCAGTCAATGTGTGAACCACGGTGGCTTTCTTTAGTGTCGGCACTTAGGTTTTCGTATCTATACGAGTAGCTGCTCTCATCAAGGCATGGGGACGGTTGCGAACAATCGACGCTTTTGTCACCTTCTTGCCCCTGGTACTGCAAACGCGGCCCGTAGACCATGTGCCCCCGATCGCGTAGCTGGAGACACCCTCATATCTAGGCACACTATGGTTGCCACGCGTCGCCATCTTCGCCGGCTCCTCCGAGGAGGCAAAAGAGCGCGCGTTGTTTGTGTGCGCGCGATCGCGTGGCGGCGCGCGCCACCAGCGCCACCGAGAGACCTGGTGGTATCACCGCGCGAAACACGGCGGCTATCCATCACCCGGTCTGGCCTCGACCGTTTTATTTTTAAGGCGTCGCGTAAAGAGAGAATATGTTTTCCCCCACCCGCGCGTCCGACGTCTTGGAGAAGGGCGATTAATCTCCCTGCTCGAGAAACAAGGTTAACTGCGCTGCGCGGACGGCGACCGACCGCCCGAGCCCAGAGCGAGCGGATGGCTCGACGGCCCCACGGCTTGGGTTCCAGGATTCGGCGTCCGGCGGCCGCCGGAAACGTTCCCTTCTGTGTTTGACATTTTATGCAATGTACGCCTCGGCTCCGGGATCTTAAAGAAAAGAATAAACTAATGAAAAAAAATATATTTGCATTCCTGACGAAGACCTGCCTCAGGTTAAAACGTTGAATAAAATACTCCTGGTTTGTGATATATATATATATATATATATATATATATATATATATATATATATATATATATATATATATACCAGTGTGTCGAACCGAAAAAAATACGGGTTCGGTTACGGTTCAGGTTCAGGTAAATTTATTTTGTTCCGGTTCAGTTCCGGTTCGATTAATTCGATCCGCGAACCGGTTCGCGAGCCGGTTCGGGGCGCTGAACCGGTTCGCGAACCGGTTCGGAAATTATAAATGACAAATTGCAACATCAAAATAACAAAATCAAAATAACATCAGAATAAAAAAAAATTGCAACATCACGTTCTAGAAACGTGTTATGAAATGAGCACACAGCAGCATTTAGGATTTACGAGATTGTAGGAAAATAAAATCCCGTGACGCGATTTTTTTTTTTTTTGCACAGCCTTTTAATTCTTTTTCTTCTGTGCAAGCCGCGACCAGCGCAATACTGGTTCCTATGTCAAGATTCATGGAAGCAGCGTTTGTCAAGATTCATGGATGCAGCGTTTATATTCCCAAGACTGAGTTAAGAAGAAAAATATATAAGCGAGGTGTGTGTCAGTTGACGGCACTTAAAAAACAAATGGCATTGATAGCACATTCATTGTCAACAGCGCGTGGCCGAACCGTTTTGACATGAGCCGGTAGCCGTTATTTTTTTTTTCGGTTCAGTTCCGGTTCGGGTTCATCGCGATAACAATATAACGGTTCGGGTTCGGGTTCAGTTCCGGAAAAAAGTACCGGTTCGGTTCCGGTTTTCGGTTCGGTTCGGTTCCGGTTCGACACCCTGATATATACATATATATATATATATGTGTGTGTGAGTGTGTGTTTGGTAGTTATGCTTTTAGAACTAAAACACCACGAGATAGTTCGTTTTGGGTACTTTTGGTGCTATTCCTACGCCTACCGGCAAAAGTACGTGATAATGTCTGCCCTCCGATCACAAGCCAGCCTGGGAACGCCAATTCAGGTACTGCAGGGACCAAGTTACGCTCGAATAGCCGGAGATAGGTCAGTATGTGGTTAACCGACTGGCGGGGATAGGTTTGTGGAGCACCAAACGCCTCAGCGCCGGATCCGTTAAAACGACAATGAACGTATGAAGTCACTGCCGGTTTGAAACAAATACAGAGCGCAAGCTCGTCTGGTTCTTGCGCACGGGTTGCGTTAACTTCAGAACGCCGAGGTCTGACTGGCTCCGATTGGAGGGACAGTGGGTAGACCTCGAGACAGCTAGCATAGAGGTCTACCTACTATTCTTCCAATCACAGCCGATCAGAGCTCGCCGTTCTGACTTCACCGCAGCCCCTGCGCAAGAATCAGACGAGTTTGCGCTCCACATAGGGCGCGGTTTGCTTCGTGGTAACTTCTTGGGCGTTCTTATCGGCTGCTTCTTATTGGCTGCGCTGCAGCATTACCAGGCTTGGTTCTTGTCACTCACTGCCTCTCTTAGGCTGTCTATACGGCGTCCACGTTCGTTTGGTCCTTGCGTATACCTCGTGCGTTTGTTTACCCCCCAAACGCGTACACGCGCTTTTGTTTTCCCCCAATCTCAGCCAATGACAGCCCTCGCTTGACTGAGCATCATCGCGGGTTCCCTACGCGTTTTCTATTTGATTGGCGTGTCCCTCCTCGCACGTTCCGATGCGCCGGAGACGTGTTTTGGAGCACTTGCTCGCCGTATACAGGGTGTTTTTTTTTTAGCTGCACCAAATTTCTAAAAAAAAAAACTACAATATTTATTGGCACACTTTTAATTTTTGAATTAGCTTGCCCGACTTGGTGACCGATTTCACAAACAAGGTTATTTTCAAATTCAAATTTGTTTCTTTTGCCACAAACAGTACGGTTGTGACAGGGGCGCTGGGAAAAAAAGCTGCAGGCGTGCAGCTTGACGAGTCCCAGCGCCCCAGTACAAGGTAAGAGCGGTACTGGCACTCATAGACGGAAAAGAAGGAATATGCGCACACATACATAGGCATACACCTATACAAAGGATACAGACAAGAAAAGCATCCAGAATTGAACTTCGCAATCAACAGTATACAAAAAAGTGGTGGTTACTTATTATAAAGCTTCTTGAATGAAACGATGACTAACATAGTGTATTTTAATACCACGGAAAAACAGAGTGTTTAATAAAAGTGGTAATTGATGGCGATATCTTTGTAAACGGAAATTTGTCCTTGAAAATGGAATACACCAGAAAGGCATATGTCGCGATGGGTATACAGACTCCTTTGCTTCTGGATTACCAAGATCTAAAGAAATGACATTACTTTCACTTACGGATCATTGATAATTAGCTATCAATCTATCCGCATACAAATTGGTTATATCAACGACTTTGTGTTTTTCAATAAGAGAAAGGGAATGACAGTCACGTGGAACATTTTGGATTATTCTAAGTGCCTTTTTCTGTAATAGGCGTAACTTGTCAGTGTTGCCCTTTGTAGTCGAACCCGACACCAGGTGGGAGTAGCAGAGCACAGGGTAAAACAGCGCATTGTAAATTAGTTTTTTTTATATATTTACCGGAAGTATGTTTCTGAATTTATTCAATATTCCGACAACTTTGCGTAGTTTTTTATGAGCATAGGTAACATGATTATTCCAAGGCATGTGACAAGAAAATGTTACCCCTAACGTCTTTATATATATTGAGCAATTAGGCGGCTAATTAACGAAAACATTTTAATTAATTTGTTTTTCAATAATGGCTTTAGAGCGCATATTGCATTTCCGAAATTGATAGTCAGCCTCCAGGCTGTACGCTCCAACCGCAAGCTGTAATAAACATCTAAGCCTTTGGGTGCTGCCGGTGAAATTATTTTAGTTCCGCGGGTTTCCTTAAAGGGGTACTCCGCCGATTTCTTCATGGTCCCCGATTTGCTTGAAATTTTGCTAAACTCGCCAAACAACATCGCCAAAATAGTATCCCAAATATTAGGTCAAAATAATTTTTTTTTCACGAAGTTATTGAATTTACAATTTTGGTCCTCACCGTGTTTTTCAAACTGAAAGTCTCTACTGGCAACAATGAAAAAGTGACGTCATTGGAAGTGCAGGGGTTAACTCTTTGGACTGTAGAATTTGTTCCCAACTGATTCGAAGCAGTTTCATGGTGTCAAATGAATGCCTTGGAAGCTCGCTCCAGTCCCCGCGCTCCAGCACGGAACAAATGATTGGCATATTCTATTTTTTAGACTGCTCACCCGACTGGCAAGCTGAACTTCCACTGACGTCACGGCCCTGAAAAGGGCGGGTATATTTGAATTTCTGTTTTTGCATCATTTTCATTTGCCGATTTCGCAATAACTATTATGAATTTCACGATACTAAATAGCATACCAGAAAGGGTAAAGGCCTGGGAGTCAGAAAATATAGTTAGTTGAGGTAGCTCAAAAATCGGCGGAGTACCCCTTTAAACCGAAAGTAATCTGGAAAAGAGTGGCAATGACGTCACTATCTCCGCCCTCGCGTAGCGTCACAGCAACGATGTCCCCCTGATGCGTGCACCGGCAGTGTCGCGGTATGTTGATCTTTTTTCTTTTTTTTCCTTTCGGTGTAAGTTGTGACGCTGCTCGAAAATGGAGAAAGTGACGTCACAGTCGCTCTTTTTCAAAGTAGTGTCGGTTTGAGGAAGCCCGCGGAACTACAATAATTTGTCGGGTAGCGCCCAAATGCTTACATGTTTATTACAGATTGCGGTTGGAGCATACAGTCTGGAGGTTGGACATCAATTTGGGAATTGCAATGTGCCCTATGAAGTCATTCGCTAAAAAGCTAATTAAAATATCTCCGTTAATTAGCCGCTTAATTGCACAAAAAAAACTTATTTCTAGTGGTCGCCAAGCCGCGTAAGCGAATCCAAAAACTAAAAGTGTCCTAATGAAACTCTTATTTTTTCTCTAATTTTATGCAGCTAAAATTAAAAAAAAAAAAAAAAAAAAACATTGTAGATCTTTCATCCTGCACCCGAGTTTAGGTGGCAGCTATACGTTTGGCTCCGTGCCGCCGGGCCGGGTGCACGGAACTTAGATGTCTTCGCTCTCTCTCTGGCCCCAGGTCCCGACTTCTGGGGCCTGCTGAACCCGGACTGGAACCTGTGCAGCAAGGGCCGTCGCCAGAGCCCCGTGGACCTGAACCCCGGATCGCTGCTCTTCGACCCGCACCTCAAGCCCCTGCACATCGACAAGAGCAGGGTGAGAAGGCACGCCCCGCCCACTTACTGCGCTGTTAATCGCGGACTCCTGGTTCCTCGTCACCTTGCCGTCGTCTAGCGTGAATCTCCCGCGTATAGGCACACAGAATGCGAACTGTTCATCGTACAGAAATACGTTCGGTGTTCGCTAAAGACATGACGACATAATTATCTGCTGGCACGTCTCCAGCATGTTCTAAACATGTTTGCTTTATATACATGCTCGTAACATGTCTGCAAACAGTTTTCTATGACTAATACGACAGGCCCGTCACACAAGAGAGAGCTCAGACAGTGTATGTAGACTGTCTTTTGTATGGTGTATAAGCAATGTGACCGTGGATTTACGTTCGTTTTTGAGCTTCTTAGTGCCTTGGACGTGCACATTTTGAATCGTCGAAGTCTCCGTGGGTCTGGCTCAAACGTGGAAACTTTTCTACAACGAGAAAGAGAAGCGATCGATCTCGTGACGCTAACGAATGCCGTCTTCCTTGGAAGCTGTGCGGTTTCCAAGTAAAAAAAAAAAAAAAAAAAGAAGAAAGAAGTGGTTACGGTTGTTATAGTATCAGACGCCGGGTATAGTTGTGTGTGTTCATTTCAACAAGTACCAACTTCCAACATTACAATGGCATCTTGCACGAAAGTTTGTCAACGCTTTATTTTGGTTATTTACTTCGAATCTTCTATACGGGGAAGGCGTGCGCGTGCAACGCGTGCGGCGGTGCGAGCGTAGAATTTTTGTTGACGCACTCGAAGGATCCACGGAACCCTAGCCGTAAAGAGCTTCGCTGTAAAAGACGGCAAATGTGAACGAGAAGATGTCACACGCCGGCGCAATCTAATGATAACATGTTTTCAATTACACATTATCTTCACTACTGCAACGGCCCTTTCTATGCGTTCACGCTTTGAATGTAATCGTGCTGCTACATACGCGCAAATAGCGTGATTGCCTCTCCTTCCAGCGAGGCCAGAGTGTCTGCTTTTTTTCTTGAAAACTTCTAACGTGTGAAAACAAATGCTAGATTTCCGATGTGGAAAATTATTGCCGCGCACAGGGCAGAACAAGAAGCGCTCAGTCACGGAACTCTAGAAGATTCGCGTTTATTCTTACTCGGTGCGTAACTTTTACTACTTCGTACTACGCTTCTAAACTCGCCAAGCACAAAGTTGGGGCCAAAGTTGATAAAGCGCACCGATTAGTCTATCACGACGATGAATTCGCGCTTTTATCGCCGACGTCCAATCGGCGCCCTCCGCGAGCTTTCTGCACCAACTTTGTGTCTGACGAGTTTAAGGCCCTTAGTTTCTCGTTCTCGAAAGTGCCTGTTCATTCTCACCCCGAACGCCCGGTGCTCCAACCTGTTGGGCCGAATATTCGCGATGCCGACGCACACAAGATAAAGAGCTGCTCTCGACCTTGTCGAGTCAGTCTCGCTCTCGCTTGGCGCCGCCTAATCGCCGCCCGCTTTTCTGCTGCCTCGACGCTCGTTCTCTATTTTGTTTCACCCAAGTTCGCCGATTAAACCTATATTTTTAGTTTATTGCTCGTCCTCTCCTCACCTTCATTCATGACAATATGACTGTCGATGGATGCGTCAGAGAACCTTTCAGCGAAACTTCAAAGATGACTTTAGGTCAGACTTAAGTAAGACTTCAGCTCAGCTCAGGCACGTAGCCAGAATTTTGTTTCGGGGGGAAGGGGGGGGGGGGGGGGGGACCCGCCCATGACAAAATGCTGTATGAATGGGAGGGGGGAGAGGAGGTCCCAGCAAAATGGAAGATATTGGGGGCGGCCCGGGCCCCATGGGCCTACCCCCTGGCAACGTGCCTGGCTCAGCTCCTACCATAGAAACGTATCTGAGAATGCACATGTGAAGCATCGTGTTCATTGTTTCTCCTCACGTGGAATGTTTTGCTCTAATCGTATTCTGAGCTTTTTTCATTCGCTGGGATGCTGGTACTGTTTGCCGTGATTGACTGTTTCGTTTTCTGCCGGCGAGTCAACTGACATGATTCTTTTTTTAGAGTGCAGGGCGTGAAACCGATTTCTTCTTCACAATATTTTAGGGAACGCATGCGCAGAGGGTGTCTCGTCTCAAGGCGAGCGCACGCGTAATTTCTCCTCGGCCGGGCGCGCGATCGGCGTATTCGCGATGAGAAACTCGCTAGGGGCGTTTCTGCTTCACTTAGTTTAGACAATGCACGTTCTACCCAGAAGGCTCTATTTTAATTTTCATGGTACATCGAAGCTTGGCGTTCCACGTGCCTGTACCAGCAGAGGAATTTCAAGTGTCTTCACTCTGGGTTGTGAAAAAAGTCCACCAGGCGGCGATAGCCAAACTTCTCGCCGCGAATAGGTCTGCTTTCCGTCGTACGAGGAGCAAGGCATCAGCGCGCGCCGAAGATGGCCCCTCGTATTATTAGATTATGTAATTTTCAGCGCATGAAGTCTAAAGTGAGGGCCAAACTGCGTCCACCACTCAGCCCATTTCACCCGAATGCATCGTGACGGCTCATTTATCGCCCCGTTTTACCAAACTATTTCTGAAAATAACGAGGAAAAACCCCAAAGTCTCGCGGAAACTCGTATCGTAATTTAATCATTATTATTATTAGAATATAATATTTGCATACTCTTCGATATTTTAGCGAGTGTCTCGTAGGCACGCACAGCCCCAATCGCGTCGTACAAAAAATAGCTATAAAACAGGAACGATGCAGAATATAATCGTGCCTCAATATAATGACTGCTAATAATAAAGTAAACGAATTTCGGTTGAACATTATTTTTTATATTAGGCAATTGTCTCGCAGGCACGCACAAGATTGAAGGCAAAGACTGCGCGCACGAGTTCGACCGATGCCCCCGCAAGGGCGTGTTCATTGGTCAGGCATCGGAACAGGGGGGCGGGGGGGGGGGGGGGGGGGGGGGAGCTGGCTCTGTAAAGCTTTGCAAAGGAATATATTGCCACGAGCAGATTTGATGTCACGGACGAAGGTAGTTGCCATTTCCCTAAGAACGAGGAATTTCTTCCTTAGAAAGCCTGGTCCATTTACACTTACAAAAACCCGAGAGAGGAAAACAAACGAAGATAAAGAAAAACGGGAACAACACAACGACGTCTCAATTTGAGACGTCGTTGTGTTGTTCTCTTTTTTTTTTTTGGGGGGGGGGGGGGGGGGGTTCGTTTCCCTGTCTCGGGGTTTATGAGTAAAATATGATCGTTTACAATCTAGCCTAGGTCATTACCATTATTTGAGAGTGCCCCTTTTTCGTAAAAAAAACTAGAGGCTCATGGGGGCTAGGCAAGGGTGCTGTCGCGTCATCCACCTCTCCCCTTCCTCTCCGCCCCCTCCCACTGCACGAACGCTCGCGCAATCGAGCCGCGATCAAACACAAAGAATTAGCGCTCGAAGCCTTTGCGTGTTAAGGGGATGAGAAGTACAGGCTTGAGAAGCCGCTGGGAATGCGTTCGCTCTCGCACCCGAGCGGAGCACACTCACTCAACTACGGCATGGCCGGCAGTCGGGGTTCCCCGCCGCCTAAACGTGCCGAGTCTGCGGTCTCTCATTCATAATGCATGTCTCCCGATCGCTCGCTCAAGATGCATTGCGCCTCTGAGTCGCGGAACAAAGGTATCGCGTTATCGCGTCCGCGACGTTGTCCGGGGGCGCCTCGTGTATCGTCGTCATCCGCGCGCTCAGCGCGACGGGGAGCGCCCACTCGGCGGGTCGTTGAGGGAGCCCGGAGTTACGAGACGGATCAACTCCAAACACGGACGGCCTGTACAACCATACCCTCCTCTATACTCGCAAAGCCTTGGCAGTTCGACGACGGAGTCATACAGTGCCCGGTCGAAGATTTGGAGCGCGAGGATATGGTAGCGCACAGCATCAAAGCGCCATTTCTTGGGGAACCTGGACATCAACGCTCAGCTTTCGCAGCGGTGAGGACCCGAAACACACTGGTTCGCTCGGGAGAAGTGTGTTTCGGCGGCTCGCCGCAGCGGGGCGCCAGTCACGTGGCTCTCCTCTTATTCGTTGTCTGCCGCTCCACTTTTTTCATTGCGGCGGCCACTTCTCGTAGCGATCTGCCCGGCTTTGTCAGTATAAAGGAGGCTATGTTACAACGGACCAATCCCACTAAGCGTTCGATGCATATAAATAACGGCTAGATTGCATCAGCGTCACCGTCAGCGCGTAGTGCACGGCTCACAGCGTGCGCGACGCAAGCACGGGGCGACGCTAAGACAAACGCGTCTGCCACTTTACGGCGTTTCTCATTGAACTTCGGCGAGTTTGCCACTCGGGATGGGTCAGAAAGCCACCGACGATGACGTCACGGCCGGCCTTGTCTTTTAGGTGCTATATAGGCTCTGCTCGCGGAAACCCGCAGTGGGGTTGACGCGCGTGAAGAAAGACAAGTTCCCGGGATGAATGGCGACAGCGGCGTCCTAACGAAACTGGTCGATGAGATGGGTCTATTTAATGGCAGGCTCCTTCCTCCCAGTTTGGCTGCTTATGTGCGTCTGTAAGTTGCTGCGCGGAGGAGAAGAGAATGGGAAGACAGGACTGAGAAATAGTTAGAGACGCTTCCAGACGCTCGACAGCTCCTCCTCGCAGCTTGTATTGCAAACGCGGCCCATCCAACGCGTCACGCGCCGAACGAGCCGCTTGAAGCACTCTTACATCTAGGCACACTCGGTCGTTCTCGCAGCGAACGCGTCTTCGTCGCCGTCCCCTTTTGTGGGCAACGTTGGGTAGCCCGCTATCGGCACAGCGCCTCCTCGCCTTCCGGTTACAAAGCGGCCCCAGCGAGCGCGGCCCAGTTTCCCTTTGAAGGAAGGGGGGGCCTGGCGTGCGGCACCAGTTGGAATTAATTACCCGTCGGTATTTGGCGGGAAAAGCGACGCCCTCTCCCGTCTCGGTTAGTAATTATTGGTATCTTTTTTCTGTTTTGTTTTTCAAGCGAGACTTTGAATGGAATTAGAGATTACA